ATCTAGCTCCAGCCATCCCTACAATCCTCCCGGAGTTTAAAACGGCAGTGGCCCCGCGACCTTTTGTAAATATGTATATATTGGAGTACTGGCAATGGCCAGATTCTCCACTTAAGACATGAGGGTCTGTTGCTATAGTGCCCTCCATCAGTTTCCACTGGTTTCAAATAACAGTGACGCGGCTGAGAGAGAAACACTGGGATCTCCTGGAGCCCTGCCTTGGATTTCACGTCGGGGAATAAGGCATGACTCAGAGTCCCCTGGATGAATGTAAATATTGTACATAGGTGTGAATGTGATTTATTTACTTTAATTTCATCTAGCTTTTATTTATTATTTCATTTTTTTTTTTTTTTTTTTGTACACAGGCATACCAATTTACTTATTTTATTTTTTTTATATTTCAATTTCTTTATTATTGATATTAATTGTGTGTACATATTGTGTGAATGAATCATGTAGCCTTAATATTAATGCCCTTCAATGTGGCTGAATGTATTAATATCCAATTAAAAAAAAAAAAATGAAATGACTGCCAAACAAACGAGCGTTATGAAATTTGTACTTCACTTCTTTGCCAAAACAAAATTGATCCTTTTCTGTCCAGAATTGTTACTTGTGATGAAAAGTGGATACTTTACGACAACAGTAGACGTTCTGGACAGAGGAGAAGCAACATTCTTGACAAAGGAGAAGCAACAGAACATTTGCCAAAGTCTCCAACTCATCAAAAAAAGGTGTTTGTTACTGTCTGGTGGGCTTCGTTGGGTTTCATACAATATAGCTTCTTAAATCCTGGAGAAACCATCAATGCCGAATTGTATTGTAACCAAATTAATGTAATGCATCAGAAATTGACAATAATGAAGCCATCTTTCGTCAATCTGAAGGTGCCCATTTGTTGCCTGACAACACCTGGTCACATGTGCCATCACAAAAACTGTTTGAGTTTGGATATGAAACTCTGCCACTTCCACTCTACTTTCCATACCTCCTCTCCTTAAGGATTATTATTCTTTTAGACACCTGGACCACTACTTACGTGAAAGAAAATGTAATGGACTAAGGGAATTAAAAAATGCGCTTTTGGAGTTTATCAATTCTAAATATGGGAAATTCTATTCTGAGGGAATAGAAAAGTTGCCAACATGTTGGCAGAAATGTAATGATGGTAGTGGAGACTATTTTGATTAAATAAAACATTTGTAATTTTTTTCGTTTTTCTTTTTAAACCTAAATCCTGCATAATTTTCCAGACAACCTAATATTTTGAATTATAAATATTTTTTTTATTATCACAAATGAATTGAGTGTAATCTCAAATGTTTGGAGTGTTTGAAGGAAAATAGATTTGTCGCCAAGATTTGGTGAAACAAATCGTTATGTGTAATACCAGCTGTTCTGGCAACACTATTTATTTAATATGACAGGAAAGGGCTTAAAAACAGATGTTTGTGATACCAAATGTGTAATCTTGAGCTGGCCAAAGCCTATCAATTTTTTTTCATCCTTAACGTTCTGTCAAACATAAAAAAAATATGTATAACATGTTATGATTATAAATACATTTTGAATGGTAATTGCAAAATGTATAGTTTTGGGACATTTATTTGGGTTTAATCCTTCATATCTGTCCTACATTTAGTAAGATTAGGAATAGTAATTTTTATTAAAACGTAATGAGTTTTATTACTATTCATGTCAATTTAATATATTTTATTTAAATTGTATCAACTACCAATTGATCAAATCAATTTCATTATTATGAGAATCTGAAGAATAGAGGTTTTTCTTATAGGCATCTTCAGCTGCAGAAAAATTAGCTCTGTAGAAAGAAACAGAAATACTAATTTTTTTTTTAAATTATCACAATGACTTGAATTATTTATGCTTTACCTTTATTCTTATTATACTCTCAGGCATTATATCTTAACATTATACTAATAAAGTTTGTTGATCTAAACTGAATGAATTATTTTTTACTTAATTCTGAATTACTACATTTTGTTATCTGAGGTAATTTTCATCTTTTGAAATATCAATGTAGTAAGTATTCACTTCATAATTTTTAAGGAAGCTTTTGTACTTTTATTAAAAACATTCATAATCAAGATTAATTTTCTGTAAATCTATTGTACATTTTATGAACGTTACTGTGAGAAGTTCCCAAAAGAATTTTAAGGTACAATTACAGATTAAAATAAATTTAATTAAGCATCCTGTTGTATTGTTCTAGATTATATTAATATATTTTAGAAATTCATTACTTCCTCAGTGGTTTTATAAGCTCGAAGGTGAGTATCAAGAATCATTTTACACTGTAAAGCCAGAAAACCTTTTTAAATAAACTGGCAGTCGGCATTTGTTATCTATAACATCTATACTTATATATGTTATCAATTTTCCTTCAAAAATTTTATATTTATTTTTTAAACTTGAATTACTAGGTCCATAAATAGTAAATGGTCAAATAATATAGGAATGACTCATATACCAGTGGAGGGCAAAATTTATTTTATATAACATCCTAAAACCAAACAGGGAAAACATTACTGCATTAATAATTCACCTCTTTCTTTGAGCATTATGATCTTAATCTTTTAATATTAGGTTTCCATCATGGTTACTCCATACATTCTCCCAACTGAATACTACTAAAACCTTTTTTACCCGTTTTTGAACATTTTTCGATCTTAAAATGTAGAGTCTGGTTAAATATTAACTTCTTGGAAAATTGTGTTTCATCATGTTGAATATGTCAGTGTCATAATAATTCTCACGAACTATCGAGTAAACTTAATTCTATTCGTTGAAAGAGAACATTGGCAGCTTCACAGCTACTTAAAAAAAAAACAGTATTGTATTGAGAGCAGAATCTTTGTTTCCAAACTCACAAAATATTATTTTAAGATAAATCAAATGGATCACGAATTGATTTTAAATATTCGTTAGTCCTTTGGAGTAAAATCTGCCTTAATCCTGATAATGGAATATTGAGAAGACTCAATTTCATTTTTTTTTTTTTTTTATTTAAAAGATTAACCTCATTAAGCATTCTGTCTCAAATAGACTTGGAATCTTCTGAAATTGTTAAAAGGCAGATTTAATTCTTGAGCCAGGCTACTATTGGACTCTTCCCTCTCCTGAATTTTTCTTCCAAGGAAAAACTTCCTTCTTGCTCTTCCTTATTCTTATTACAGTACTAAACAGAAATATGAATTTAACGCTAAAACTGAGGAATGACAGTTAATATTGGAAAACAATAAATACCTACCTATATATTATTAAATTTTATTTATTTAAATTCTACAGTGGTGCAAGTACTCATTCTTCAGTTTTTTTTGTCCTCCTGTTTCTTGCCTTTCAGGCTATATGGAGTTCTCCCGTTTCTGGGGTAAGGGCGGGGGATTAATGCTAGTGTTAAAAGCCTCCTGGGTACCGGCACGTAAAGTCTAAATATTTAGTTCGGGTTATCGGGTATTAGTCTGCTCGTCCACCCCGTCCCTGATTCATCACAGTTGGGGTCATATTAATAATTATTACTCTGTTTATAGTAATAAAGTAACTTAAATAGTTTTGATAAACTAGATTAATATTAGAATCCCTGTGGCTTAGTTTATTTTATAATAGGGAAAATCAGAACTTTATATGTCAACTATCAACTTTTATCTCCTCTCAGTTTATGAAAATAAAATAAATTATTAAAAGTTTTGTTTTATAAAATAAAAAATCCTGATTAAGTTTTAAAAATGCCTTACTCTAAAACATTATATTTATTATTTAAAAGACTGATTTTTTTTTTTTTTACTCAAATCATTTTGCTATCAATTTTCTTTCATGTATAATAAATAAATTTAGTTATAAATTATACATTTTTAATATTTGTGTCTTCAAACATATTGGTCAGGAAAAACTATCATTAAATATGAAAACTTAATAAAGATCATTTTCTGACTGTTTTTCATCCTTATAATTTTAACTCAACTATATTTCCATCTCTAAATATTAAGTTGTTATTTATGAATAACTAGCTTTTCCAAGTTTACACTTGCTTTTTAACTCATATTTCGTGATCAGATGATCGGTTTTTATGGTTAAAAATATTTTCTGACTGTTCAGAGTTAGACTGCTGAGAAAACAATAGTGAAAATTTTTGTTTGCTTTTTCCCTTTTATTTTGTGAAAAAAAACATTTGAGTTTTCTTGGTTCTGTATTTTACAATTTTCATACTGAAGTAGGCTAAAGCAAATAAAAGTGTGAATTTTTGTTTTCATTTCATTTGCTTTTCCTTGTTTATTTCAGGAACAGGTAGTAGATTTTTCATAGTTCAAAATATTTTCTAACTGTTTAGAAGTAGGCTAAGATAGATGAAGATTTTCCTCTTTTATCTCGTGAATGGGTAATTGGTTCTTTTTAATTGGGTAATCGTTCATTTTTTTTTTTTTTTGTTCACCAAGAGCCTACCCTGTTATTAGTTGAAAGTGTAGCGTACGTAAGAAAAAAATGTTTTCTACAACAGGTGGATTTCTGTGTAGCCTACTACTCAACATCAATTCGTCAGAAGAGAAAAATAATTTATTTTAAAGTTTAATGAGAATTATAGATTTATACTTCTATATTACCAAAATCTTTACACAAATTAAATTAAGAGAAACCATTGTCTGCAAAGGTTCTAAAGGTTGCAAATGTTCTGTTGCTTGCTTCTTAATATAAAGATATCAATGGAGTTAAAAAGAAAATTAAAAATGTTCGTTTATTATTTTCCAAAGAATACTTGCAGAAGGAAATCATCAAGAAAAAAACCAGCTCTGGAACAAATGAAAAATAATACAATTCTTTGTGGTTCATTTATTAGCATCTCTTATGCATTGCTGTCTCTCAGACAGTGAAACTAGAGAATGTTTTAACAAGGAAGCTTTTTATTTATTATTTAGCTTTTTATCATTTTTAAGCTTTTAATATTTGTTTCTTATCTTTTAAAAATAATATGTTTTTTTCAGAGACATGCTGGATATCACTGAAACTAATTCTGAAAGTAAACTCTTCCGTACTAGTAATGGTTGCCAACAACCAGACTCTTATACTTCGCCTAAAGTAATTATACCATTAGTATTCTATTTTATATTTATACTAGACTGAATTAAGTTAAGCATTACATTAATTTTTCCTGTGTTTCCAAAATAATTTTTTTGACTGGTTCGCAGTAATTTAATTTAAACATAAATTTTACCTGAAACCGTGTTAATAAATCATATTTTTCCTATGATCTAAGATATTGTCACTCTGATTAAGATATTGATAATTATCATTATTATTAAACTGGCTCTACGCTTACAACAGAGGTAGCGGAAGACAGTTAGTGTTTGTCATATTTGTTTACTATTGACACCTGAAGCAATGGGAAGTGACTATTTTCTTTCTGTTGTTTTATGGCTATAGCCCTATAGCCCTGGAGGACCCAAAAACCGGCCTGATCATAGGCAAAGGTTTGAATGTAAATTACAGATGTTTATGTTATTATAAGTAAAATGTACCTTGTCTATCATTTTTTGTGAAAGCAACAATAAATAAACAACAAAGGTAAAAAATTCCACCCACTTGATTTTTTCATGTTTTCATCTAAAAATATTTCTGTAAAGTTGTATTTGTATATAATACATGGTATTTGTAGATAATACTTAGTATTTATGGAATTTTATAACCTTTTTTACCTTTAATAATCAAAATGTGATTGGGTAAGAAAGATTAGATAAAAAAAAATTGAAAAACGAACCATTATTATTCTAAAAGAAATAATTACATCATCGTTTAGTAGAGCGTGTTTCCTCCTCTTGCCTTCACTACTTCTTGAAGACACCTCGGCATACTTTTCACCATTCGGGAAATGTCCCTTTGCTGGAGGATAGCCCATTCCTCTCGAAGAGCCCTTTCAAGGTCCTGCAGTGTATCAGGAAGTGTTGCACGCGCTCTTATTTGTCTTCCGAGGTTATACCATAAATGCTCAATGGGGTTCAAATCTGGAGAACGTGCTGGCCAGGCTAAAACCTCAATATTGTTCTGTTGAAGGAACGTCTGCACTATGCAGGCGACATGTGGGCATGCATTAGAATAGAACGACCGCTGATTTCGTTGAGGATAGGCAACACATGAGGTTCCAAAATCTCATCTACTTAGCGAATGGCTGTCAAATACCCTCCACGAACAACAACCAATTCTGCGCGGCGCTCCATTGAAATCCCAGCCCACACCATAAAGAACAACGTTGGAAAGGTTGGCTCTGGGAAAAATTACGGGCTGCATATCTTTTGTTTCTTCTTCTCCACACCCTTTCACGCCTATCTGGAGATCGAAGAGCGAATCTTGACTCATCTGTAAAAAGTACAGCACTCCATTCGCATAGTCCAATGGCTGTATTCTTGAGCAAAAGCCAGCCGTGTTACTCTGTGAGTTCTGGTCAACTCTGGTCCTCTTAGTGGACGAAAAACCATTAATCCATACTCATTTAATCTTCTCCGAGGGGTACGTTCAGAAATTTGCACACCTCAAACTACTTCGAGCTGATGAATTGCTTGAACAACGGTAAGGTGCCGGTTTCGTAAAATTCTCAAAGTCAAAAACCGGTCATCCCGTGGTTCTGTTACTCTAGGCCGTCCAGAACCGGGCTTTCTATTGTAAGAACCAGTTTCCCGAAAACGCCTAACGGCGTCTCGTAAAGTTTCATATGGAACTCCGATGGCATTAGCTGCATATCTAATGGAATGTCCATCATCAATAAGTACCACACCATGCACAATATCCTCAGCACTAAGAGGCATTATTAAACTTAATATTGAAAAATTTAAAAGCCAGAGACTAAGAAATGTGCTTCAAGAAATGGCACTGAACTAATCATACTGAATAAACATTTTGATTCCATAGAAAGTAAACAATGGAATCTAGAATCATTTCATTGAATTAAGGATTAAGGGTTATTGTTCTCTATATTAACATTCCCAATTGAAAACAAACAAAAAGATTACCTATTTATTCATTAAAAACAATTGACCAATCCAAAGCAGAAATATTTTTAGATGAAAACATGAAAAAATCAAGTGGATGGAATTTTTTGCCTGTCAGTGTATATATTTTTTTTCTTTTTAATTAAAGCAGGTAATTTATGGTTTCACTATTCTCCATGTATAAAAAAAAAAAATAGTGTTGCATCCGACAAAAATTAAACAGTAGTAATGATTAAAATTATCTTTCCGAATTTGTTTTTAAATAATCGTACATTCATCATCATCATATGTGGCACGACATCCCGTTACCGACACTGGGCCTCCTCCAAGAGCCTCCGCCAGTTGGCTCTGTCTTCTGCTGCAGCTCTCCAGTTCCGTACACCAAGCAGGGTTCTCTCATCATAGGCCACGTTGTCCAACCATCTCGTCCTCGGCCTTCCTACTCGTCTTACGAGGTGCAGCTCCTCCATCATTATTTTCTTTGGTATTTCAACGGTGCTCATTCTGACCACATGCCCTGCCCACCTTAGTCTGGCCAGTTTAATATACGTGACTACGTCGATATCTGTATAGAGAGAAATGAGCTCCCTATTTTTTCTTTTCCTCCAGACATCACCCTCCTTTACTGGACCATAAATCCTTCTGAGGACTCCTCGCTCAAACACACTCAGCTTCATCTCATCGTTTGTAGTCATCGTCCAAGCCTCTGAGCCATATGTCAAAACAGGTCGAACAAGGGTCTTGTATATGATCAGCTTGGTCTTCTTTGAGAGGTACCTACTTCTTAAGTGTCGGCCAAGTCCAAAGACACATCTATTGGCAGCCGTGATCCTTCTTTGTATTTCTTGAGCCATGTCATTTTTGCTATTAATTTCAGACCCAAGTTATATAAAACTTTTCACTCTCTCAAACTTAAAAGAACCTACCTCAAATGGAGAGTTCAGATCCACCTCACCACCAACTCTCATATACTTAGTTTTCCTCTCGTTGACTTCTAGACCAAGTGGTCTTGCAGCTGCTTCAAGGCCTATAAACGCTTCTCTAAGAGCCCGTTCAGACCTACCTATTATGTCAATATCATCAGCAAAACCAAGAAGCTGTGTCAGGCGATTGAAGATTATTGTTGGTCTGAATACCGGAGTCTCTTACAGCTTTCTCCTCTGCCAAGTTGAACAATAGACAGGCGAGGGTATCCCCTTGCCTAACCCCACTGCTCACTTTAAACTCTTCGGAGTCATCAGAACCGACGCGTATTCTACATCTCGAGCTCCCCATGGTCATCTTGATTAGGCGTACGAGCTTCTGAGGGATGCTTAGCTCTTCTAAGGCACAGTATAGTTGCGTTCTATCAACGCTGTCGTATGCTGCTTTAAAGTCCAGGAATAAATTGTGGGTGACTACCTTACGCTCCATAGTCTTTTCTAGGATCATTTTCAGAGAGAACAGTTGATCAGTGGTTGAGCGTCCTCTTCGAAATCCAGCCTGATATTTCTCAAGTTCCTTTTCAGAATACAGGAGGATCCTCTCAAAAAGAATGTTAGAGAGCAGCTTATAAGCACACGAAAGGAGTAAAATTCCTCGATAGTTAGTGCATTCTGTTTGATCTCCTTTCTTATGTATTGGGCAGATAATGGCTGTTGCCCATTCCGTTGGCATAGCTTCCCTCTCCCAGATGGTCAGCATTAAATCATGCAGAGCTTTCTTGAGGTCTTCACCTCCTCATTTCAACAGCTCTGACTGGATTCCGTCCGGGCCTGGCGCCTTTCCATTTTTCAATTTCCTCAGGGCGTTTTCCATTTCCTCCTCATCCGGGGGTTCAATAGAATTCAGGGAGTCTTCCTTCATTACTCCTACTTCTCCAGGCACCGTTCCTCTGTTTAATGCGTCTTTGAAATGTTGTACCCATCTCCTTAGTACGTCATCTTTGTGGCTTAAAAGAGTTCCATTCGTGTCTTTGCAAGCTGTCACTCTGGGCCTGAAAGCTGCCCTACCCTCGTTTATTCTCTGAAAGAACAGCCGACTTTCATTTTGGCCGCGCAATGCCTCTGTGTCCTCCATGTTCTTATTTTCCCAAGCTCTTCTCTTTCCGCGGAATAATCTCTTCTCTTCGCGTATTTTTCTTCAATATGTTTCTTGGGAGAGCCTTGTGGGATGCTGAACCTTCTTTCTGTAGGCTTCATTTTTCACTTTTACTGCTTGAAGGCACTCAGCATCAAACCATGGGGGCCTTCTAGATTTAGTCTCGTAGCCAAGAGATTCTTCTGCTGCCTGTTTCATTGCGTTGCTGCATCTCTTCCACTGTTCATCGACCATCGAGCTGTCATTAATTACTTCTTCATTAAGTTTCGTCTCCACAGCTTGTTGATACGAATATTGGTGGTCCGAGTCCTTAAGTTTAGCTACATCAATCTTCTTCTTTGGTCGTTGGTGGTGGTTTTTAATCAGCCAAATTCGTGATCTGACCTCGGCAATGCGCAAATAGTGATCCGTGTCCATATTTGCACCTCTACAAGATCTTGCTTTTATCATGTTGGACTTGTGACGGGCACTAATGAGTACATGGTCTATCTGTGATGTTGTTTGCCCATTTGGAGAGATCCATGTTGCTTTGTGTATATTCTTTCGAGGAAAAAGAGTTGTTCCAACAATCAGTCCGTGCAATGTAGCTAAGTTCACCATCCGTAGCCCATTATCATTACTGGTCTCATGCAAGCTGTGGGTTCCTATGGTCGGCATGAGTGCCACCTCCTTACCAACTTTGGCGTTAAAGTCACCAAGAATGATTTCAACATCATTTTTGGGGCAGCTTTCTGTCACGCGTCCAAGTTCTTCATAAAATGTTTCCTTATCCTCCTCAGGTGACACCTCTGTTGGGGCATGGCAGTTGATTAGAGAGAAATTAAAAAATTTTCCTCTAAGCCGAATGTAGCATAACCTTTGGTTAATGGGAGTAAATCGCATCACCAGCTGTCGAGCTCTTTAGCATCGTACATTAGTCTTTTTTTAATTTTTTTTAATCCTGCCCGTCTCCTCTGAGGTACTTTTGTCACCAATATTTTTGGTAACAATATCTGCAGCAGTCAATTATTAATCCAC